TTTTTTTTATTGTGTCCTGTGGATTTGCAAAGTATTTCTGAGGATTTGTGGTTTTTGTTGTTATTATTGAGTACGATTGGGTTTGTGCGGCAGAATCAAAGAAAGGAGAGAAGAATATACATTCTTTCATCCTTTTAAATGATAGGTTTATCCATATCAATTCAATATCATGACTTTTCAGCATAGATAAGAAGGCTGTTGTTAAAATTCTTGAATTCTTTTATAAGGTATCAGGAATGCTTAAAAGAATGCAATGCTTTGGAACAGCAAGCAGCACAATTACAGCGAGAAGCAGCTGAAGCAGGAGAGGAACGAACCAGAGCAGAAGGAGAATTAGGAGTTGAAAGAGAATGGCGCACATCCTTGGAGCAAAGTGTGAACAAAGATCGTAATCGAATAGCTGAATTACAAAGGGAACTTGCTCAATTGCGTGATGTTTCTGTGGTAAGTACCACGTTGTCTTTTCAGACAAAATCCTCCTAAAAAATCTGAAAATATCAATCCTTTTTCCAGAAATTTGTGAGCTTGCAAGAAGATTATTATACTTTAAAAGAACAATGTAACCAACATGAGTTAACTTTAGAAGAATTAGGATCACAGCTTCGAGTATCAAAGCTTCAGGTTGCAGACTTGCAAGAAGAAGTTGAGAAAGCCAAACATGCTGGTGTTAGTGATGCCACTTGGATGCGTGATAAGGAAGTCACTCATTGCAAAGGTTGTGAAAAAGAATTTAACATGACAAGAAGAAAGGTAACCAAATAAACTTATTCCAGATCAATACATTTTATTAGATTTCTTGTATTACTGATTTTCTTCTGGTAACTTTTATATTCTTTTCACAGCATCATTGTCGAAACTGTGGCGATATTTTCTGCAATGCATGTTCGGACAATTCTATGCCGTTGCCATCACTTCCTAAGCCAGCTCGAGTTTGTGATAAGTGTCATGTTCTTCTTGTTGCTAGATACTCAGTTGTTCCTCAATGATGAATGAGCGCACTGCCAAATTTTTTGTCTTTTTTCTACCTAGTCTTTCTTAACTTAAGCTGGGTTCAGAGTTCAGCTTTTAAATTGAAAATAAGCAGTGTTCTATTTTTCATTTAAAAGATCTGTCAAGACTGTTACCTGCTCACTTCAAATATTAGTACAAAAATATGACCTTTGTCGCATTTTTCCAGTCTTTTGTCAATAACATTAGTTAAAGTTTTACTAGACCGTCGATCTATTGTAATACTTTGTTAAAACTTTATAGTCTTGTTATGTAGTTCTTCAAAAGTATTTTTGCATTAGTTTTACCATATTTTTCTTATTGTTATTAAAATTATATGTCCTTTTTGATGTGATGATATTTATATGAGCAAAATTTAGATAAATGTTAAGTGCCTTCAGAGAAGATAAATGTTGAATTTTATTATCCTGCCCTGTAGTGTAGAATCAGACAATTTGTATCTGTTTTCTATCTTTTCTAATGACTTTGTGATAATTAAATATTTTTTAAGGTCATTCTAAATGCAGAGAAACACAACCTGTTGATAGGCCAGTTGTTTCAGTCTCTTTTTATTATCATTCACCTGCATGAACTATTTTTTTACTGGATCATCTGTTGAATTGAGTAACTTCTCATGGAAATTTTGCCTTTTATGTACATGCTGTGCTTTATTATCTATTTTATCAGGTGTCTTATTTTAGGGTATTTGAAAGTTGAGTATTATACGTCTGTATCACAGAATAAAATTGATATTAAAAATGAGTCTTTCTGCAACAAATGCTGAGTGTTGAGATTACCGGGTGTCCGTAAGAATACGCGGCAGCTCGATGGGTTGCCTACGCACT